GTTTCAGGATTATTTTGATCGAAACTGAGACTCTTCTGCTGAGACTCTGCTGCTTAGCCCTACAGAGAGATTTGGATTTGCTCTGTTCTTCTCATTAGATTAGATTACTCTCATGAGGGTAATGGTAGAGGGATGTATCATAGGGTGTGACACCCTACACTGCACTGTTAGTTTGAGATAACTAGCATTATTTTGAAATAGCAATGTGAGCATTTACACAGCCATTCCATTATTTTGAGATAATTTTGAAATAATGGACGTCTTATTCTAAAATCTGTAAATCTCATTCTACTAGGAATAACGCCTATTCCGAAGTAGCTACAGTATTTTGAAATAAGTTGTGTATAGATGCTCCACTGCTGCTATTTCGAAATAGCCCCTCACCAGGGCTATTTTATGTCTGGGGCTCCTGGGGCTCTAAATCAACATAGCACGTCTACATTATGGAAGTCTGTCTCAGACTAATTTTGAGGCTTCCCTACAGTGTAGACGAGCTAGTTCAAAATAAGCGCTTTTGTAATAACTATTCCAGAATAGTTTATTTCAAAATATCCATGCAGTATAGACATACCCATAGGTACAGAAGTAGTCTGTATATGGTGAGATTTAAGGTAGAATGCATGGTTAAATACGATGAAAATAGAACCTGTGACATGCCCAAGCCATGGCTACGATAGATGGGAATGCATTCTGATTTCTCAGTGGTGCAAAGTGTTTTTTTTCTCTGAGCCTTCACTCACAGCAAAGCAGATTATAGCACAAAACAGAGGAGAAGGAGCACTGAATATCATGCTAGCAATTCAAGCAACTCCCATCATCATAAATGTTCTGGTGGTTTCAAATTCATTAACACTGAACAGATTTCAGACCTGAGTCTTACAAAATAGGGATGAGATTTTCACCTTACTCTACCTCTAATGAAAAAATGTCTGGAAAAGTTACTAATGAGGAACCTCACAGACCACCCCAGTACATTCTTCCATGTGTTCCCGCTCCCCTTCTGGTAGGCAATATAGGATGAGTAAAAAATTGATTCCTTATTTTTAACTTGAATAATATAACTTTTGGGGTGGGTTTAAATCAAACCATTAGTTTTAGTTTAATACAATCTTTAATTTGTGTATGTTTAGTCTCATGTAATTATCTTTCTGCTGTAATCTTTTGTTTAGAATAATTTTAACAATGAGCTCTGACCTCAGTAGATATAAATTAATACAACTTCTCTGAAGTCAATCAGTGCTGATTTATGTCAGCTGGCCCCCTGAGTATGGTAAAACACACAAAAAATAGTTTAAAATTCTAACACATTGCATTTGATCCAGTTCCTCATCTTCTAGTAATTTACTCATAACTTTTTTTATTTACATTTCTCTCTTTCAGGCACTGTAGATCATCTGAAGAAAATAAAATAACGTTCAGAGTTAAGAATATATTCCAAGATGTATGAACAGTGTTATCAGGAGCCAGATCAAAATGCTTCATTGCTCAAATGGTGTACTACAGGCAATCAGCAAGATTTCATTTTAAATACTATTTTTCTAAACATTACATATTTTTTATTTTTTTCTTGTGTCTCAGATTTCTCTCAAGCATTCATCAGTTGCATATGATAAAGAGAAAACTTATACAGCACCAAATATTGGGAGAAATGCCACAGTCTACAGAACTTCAGGACAAATATCTAAACTGGTATGTTTTATGTTATTCAAGTACAAGAGCACAGCTGCTGAATTCACCCAGCCTGTTGTACCTCAATAACCTCTCTCCTCAGTGAAAGTGCATGTGAAAAACAAGTTGGGAAATCAATTAAGATAGGGTGAGAATGAGAAAATATTTTTTCCCAAAAAGAAAGATTATTTTGTAGGCAAGCATTATAGAGGCTTGCAAGGGTTTCAGATTGCCAGTAAGTAGGTAGGATTTTGGATATGCACACGGCTGATTACTAGATGGAAAGGTAAGTCATATAAATTCAGGTTTTGGAGAAGCATAGAGTGGGTGACTAGATGGAAAGTGGACTTGAATAAACACTGTTAACATGAAAGTTATTTCCTTCTTTTTTTGGTGGCGCACACACATTACAAATCATTTCCATTATTGTACTATATTTCTGCATAACATTTGGTGTTGAAATGCTTTTTGCCCTTAACAGCAAGTATTAGAATACTGACATCATTCTGATCAAAATGAATCATGTCTTTCTTTCTGATTGTGGTGAAAGCTAGTTAGGGAAGTAAAAATCTACTTTAAAAAGTTTTGCTGGATAGTTCCAGATGAACTGCTCATTGTCTGGATGTCCTGCATAAGGATGTAACTAAGCTGTTTGCTCCATAAGAAATAAGGGTATGTCTACACTACCCTGCTAGTTCGAACTAGCGGGGTAATGTAGGCATACCGCACTTGCAAATGAAGCCCGGGATTTGAATTTCCCGGGCTTCATTTGAATAAGCGGGGAGCTGCCATTTTTAAAACCCCGCTGGTTCGAACCCCGTGCAGCGCGGCTACACAGGGCACGAACTAGGTAGTTCAAACTAGGCTTCCTATTTCGAACTACCGTTACTCCTCGTGGCATAACACATGAAAATTCCCTACAGTGTAACTGGTGGTTTTATTGGTTCATTTATTTTAAAGGGAATAGATGTTCTGTCTGTCTAAAGCAGTGGTCCCCAACCTTTTTAGGTTGTCGGGCGCCAGGGGGCGTGGCCGTTTGCCCGCCGGGCGCCAGGGGGCGGGGCCCGGGGGCGCTCCCCCCATCCACGCGCCCGGGGGCCCCACCAGCGTCACTCAAAACTCTGAAAATATCACTGTGAATGTTGAGGCATAGATGGTTGCTTGGCCAACCACCCAACTTCGAACACAGGAGTCAGACAGGCTAGCTCAAGCTAGTCTGGCTATGCAGGCTGAGAGGTATACTCCCAGTTGCAATGAAGACGTGTTCTGGAGGAATTGGACTCTGCTCCTCCCCCCGCAAGCGCCGCGCGCCCGGGGCCGACGCTCCCCGCCCCCCATGCGCCATGCGCCCGGTGCCAGGTCAGCCCCGAGCACCTGGCGGGCGCATGGAAATGGCACCGTGTTGGGGACCACGGGTCTAAAGGAAACTTGCTTTTAGATACTGAATCTTAATTGTTTCACGTTGATGGACTCCTATCCTTAGGGACCAAGATAAGAGGGTAGAGGAAGCATACATTTAATCAGGCATGGTGGTATTATGTAGCCAAAGGGTGGCAACATCAGCAGGCAAGCAAGCCAAATGAAAGAATCCAGAAATAAAGGCCAACAATCAGGCTATGTCTACACTGCCGTTGTTTTTCTCTGCAGAAGATATGCAAATCATGTTCTAATTTTTTTTCCGACAAATGGCCCCATCTACATGGGGCTTTTTAGTGGCAAAACCTCTTCCACAAAAAGGATCAGCAGAAGATATGGAAATGAGAGTGTGATTTGCATATCTTCTGCTGAAAAAAAACAGCAGTGTAGACATAGCCTCAGAGATCTGCTTCTCTTTCAGTTTTTGAAGATGGTAGCTTGGCTAGTTATATCTCCTTGGAATACTTCCACAGGAATCTTGTGGTAAGGGATTTGATTAAGTAAACTTTATACAAATGACAACTCTCTCAATCCCAGTAATTTCTTTCTCTGTCAGTCAGCAGATGGATAGGTATGTTACAACACTTAAGGTTATGTATAGGTCAGCACACAGGCATTATCTCAACCTTAGGAAAATAGCAACTATACATTCACTCAACCATGCACACAGTGAAACATTTTTCTGTTCTTTGGAGACTTATAACTTCCCTTTTAATATTTCTGTATTCAGCAGTTTAGTTTTGAACAGTATTTTGACATACAAAATCTGTGTGAATTGTTAGATTTTTATTTCAGTGAGAGCAAACAATGTAGCATAATTCAGGGCCAACTAAAAAAATGAACAGTAGATATAATAATAATAATGATAATAATAATGCTTGTAAAAGAGGGAATATAATGAATGGCAGGGTGTGATGGAGGTGAGTATGTTTACCTGCCAATCTGACACCAGATCTCTAGATACTAGACTGATTAACCTTTCAAAATCAGAGAATAATAGTGTAAAAAGAGCCAGGATAACACTAACTGGTTTGTTAAAAGAATGGAGCAGAATAAAAGAATCACTTAAAAACCTCACAGTTCTGAGAAGTAATCTGAGTATTTTTCTGGCCAAAGAGTAATTCTAGTTATTTTCAGTTACTTTTCTTGACAATCTTCTCTTGATTGCGAACAGTATAATGGTAGTCATAGTAGCCTGCATGGCAACAGCCTTATTGAACAAAGTAATCAGTAATCAATTACTTCTAAGTAATCAGTGTTATGTATCTGTAACACATTACTTTTTTGATCCAGTAGTCAGTAATATGTAACCAATGGCTTTTTTCAAAGCAATTTTGACAATTGTGCAGTTTTTCAGCTACTATCCTGCCAGTGCGAAGTTTCATTCTATATCCCTGGATATAAATGGACTTCTCAAATTCTATTCATGTGGTGAACCAGTGAGTATCTTTTGTAAGTATATACAGGTATGGGAACTGCTATTAGCACAGTGACGAGACTGTACTGCTGTTATACTTAAACATTTAATTGTTATCATGAAGCTACCTACTAGAACAAAAAGTTTCAAAATCAAGATGGGTTGAAATATTTTCAACCAGCCAGTTTTCTGTCAGGAAATGTTGTTTTGTTCAAATGGAAATGTTTTATGGGAATGTTAAATTCTGATATTTTTTCAATGGACAAGTTTTGAATTGGAACATTAATTGGAAATGAGCGTTTTATTGCATTTCCTCTTTCATTTCGTTTTGACCTCATGTTAAAACAATTTGCTTCAATGTGTTGTGTTTAGTTAGTCTGATACCTTGTCTGCTCTTTCACTAGATGAATGTACATTGTGAGGGTATGGGACTGGTTCATTGATGTCACAATGGACAGTTCTCTGTCAGTGGCCTGGTTCAGTCATTGGAATCGAGGGTGAGAACTTGAGTGCATGAGTGTGAAACTGCATCTTAGGCAAAAGAGAGCAAAACTACCGGGTATTCTATCTGTTTAATTCCTGCACAGAGTGAGTGGTACTGTGAAGCCACAATTTCACATGACAAAGCCTGCCTTCATAGGCTGAGTGATGACAAGAGGAAGTGGAAGCAGTTCAACTCAGCATCTGTCTAGTGACACGGGCACTGGAACAGTTTTTATAGTGCGGGCACTGAGAGCCACTGAACCAAATTGCAAACCCTATCTATAATGGAAACCACTTCAAGCCAGGAGGTGCTGCAGCACCCTGGCACCAATTGTTCCAGCACCTATGTCTAGTGACTCAAACAAAAACAACAAAATTATCTTTTTCCGGACATTGCCTCCGCTACAAGCTACATTACATTATTCCTCTCACAGACCCTGTCTGGGAGCTGAGTTACTGAAACTGGCAGACCCCATCACGAAGGTACTTGAAAGCATTGTTTTGCCATGTGAAAACTTAGACATGAAAATTACCCCCTCTTGAGACTTGGCTCTGCCCAGAAGACAAGTTAGTGTGTGAGTTCTGTCATATAAATCTCAGGAAGTGAAGAGAGGAGAGCTAGTTTACCAAGAGGAGTCGTCATCAGTTTAAATGAGGGAGAAAACTCAGGACCGGAATATTTGCCTAAAGCCCAGCTGACCAATTGGTGTGCTGAATGTTAATGATGATGAAGAGGAGGAAATTAGTATAGCTCCAGCTAGTCTAACAGCACATGAGTTTGATTCTTTCCTCGAGGCTGATGTGCAACATACCAGTGTTAGTCCTCAAGATATATTAGTATCTCTCTTAATTCCACAGTTAAATGGCAGACAATTTTCTGGATGCACAAGCAGAAATCTAGACAGTAACACTACAATTATTGTATACAAGATTCTGTGGGGTAGAGCCTCAACTAGGATAAATTGAGATGGCTCTATTGACTTCAGCCGAATGGTGACAATTTAGAGAATATTATCTTAAAGAACATTATGCATAGTACATTTTACCTGAATATATTATATTCTCCATGTCCATCTCTGCTTTCATCTACATCCAACTAATATTTATCTACTACCCCTCCATGCCAATAGTTTTTTAAAAATATGTAGCAGGTAAAAATAACATCTCTCCGCAGACTTCGTATTGTGTGTTATGAGGCTGTTTAGCTCCTGCAAATTAACCAGCATGATAAATACAGGCAGTCCCCGACTTACACGGATCCGACTTATGTCGGATCCGCAGTTACGAACGGGGCTGCCCCAGAGTACACGGACTGCGGGACCTCGTGGTCCTGCCGCCCGTGTACTCTGGGGCTTTCTCTGAGTCTCCCTGGTCTGCAGACCAGGAAGACGCAGAGCAAAGCCGCGGAGGGGCTCAGGCAGCCGGGCAGCCCAGGCACGCCTGGGCTGTCCCGCCGCCGGCTTCCCCCGCAGCTTTGCAAAGCCACGGAGGGGCTGGGGCTCCGGGGCAGCCCAGGCGCGCCTGGGCTGTCCTGTCCTCTCCAGCAGACCAGGGAGATGGGGAGCAAAGCCTCGGAGCACGCCAGCAGTGGGACAGCGTGGCGCGCCTGGACTGTCCCGCTGCCCGCGTGCTCTGCGGCTTTGCTCCGCGTCTCCCAGGTCAGCAGACCAGAGAGATGGAGCAAAGCCGTGGAGGACTTGGGCGGTCCCGCCACCCCCGTATCCCTGGTCTGCTGGGGGAGGGGTGCAGCTAGTGCCCCCCCCAGCAGACCAGGCTTTTCTTGCCTACCCCTGGGGTAGAGCAGCTGGGGGCTGCCGGGTTGGTCCCGCAGCGCCACTCCGAACCAACCCGGCAGCACCCCAGCTGCTCTGCCCCAGGCGTCCTGATTCAGCCGCTGCCGGGCTGTTTCAGACGCGG